GGCTTCACACAACAGAAACTTCATCCTGGAAACAAGAAAGCATGTTCTATTGCTATTCCTAGTCACGGTCTTGGACAAAGCAAGCATCTTTCTCTCGCAGGACAAGCCTATGTAACCACCACTGTTCTCCTCACTTCACTGTAGAGACTGTCAGGCAGAGAATTCAACAACGAACCCTTCTGAAGTCAGCTCTGTTTTCTGGTTTCTTAAAAGCATTTACAACTTTAGAGATGGAAACTTGCCTGAATAAGAAATAAAGATGGGCATAATAATAATAATGCAGGTAATGCTGAAAATGAAGCATGTAGAATTCTAGAGAAAGCTAATTTAAATTTTAAATGCAGTGGTCAAAGTACTTAAGAAACAATGGCATAAAAATGTATGGATAGTGAAATATTAAATAAGATACAGTAGCAGCTCTGTTAAGTTCTATACTTAACAATATGAATATAAGGGGTGGGGAGTGTGGTTCACACCTTCACTCCCAGTGGGAGGCAGAGGCAAATTCACAGAAATGAATCTCTGTGTGAAACTAAGTCTACATAGAAAGAATTTGCCTCAAAAAATATATATATTATGGGAATGGATTATTAAGTCTAAGGGTGCTATGCTTTTGCAAGACACTGTAACTAAATAATTGAATAAATAGAGAGAGATGGTAGAGCCATGTCTCTCACCACTGGAATGTGCCTTTGCAGATAAACAAGGCAAGTAGGTGAGAAAGCTCTCTGGACAATGGATGAATCTGAGACCCTTAAAGGCCTCACTTAGTTTACAGGTATTTAAATATACATGGTACATACAAAACTTTTATAGACGTGTATATAGCTACGATTAGTTGTTCTCTTGAATGAGCATACCTAAACACCACCCATTACCAATGAACAAACTTGGTGTCCAGATCTTGGTTTCTGTTACTATTACCTTTCTTCAATACATGGAAACAGGTCTCCTTGTGAAGAAATGACTGATTGTAGGACTGCAAAACCAAGGAACTGTTATAAAAATATATATAATTTATAGTAAAGAGTTATTAAACACACAAAGCACACATGGACAGTGGAATACATGTCTGAACTCAAAGGGTTCTCCATGGCCCAACTGAAATATTTTGAACTATTACATAAAATATAAAAAACATATCTGTGAGTCTGTTTTGATATAAACAAGCAATTAAATAAATTGACTAGGGAGAGTGTAGACAACACTATTATTCAGAAGAATTTCATGTATTTCATTATGCATATACTTAATCTTCATACAGATCAATCATAGCTCCCCATAGGTTTGGACTTCATGAAGTGACTCGTTTCCAATTAGTAAAGATTGACAATAGCTTTACAACAGGAAAACCTGGCTGCTGTGGTCAAGGTGATCAAGGTCAACATTAACAATTGTTCCGGTTTGTTTCTTCATTGCCGTGACAAAACACTCTGACCACTACCAACTTGGGGCTCAACATGTGTTCACCTATGACTTTTAGTATCCAGCTTCTCTTCAGGGAGTTTCTTCACAATCCAGAGATCGTAAATCAGATAGTGTTTTCTCAGAAGGCAGAATAGTTTAGATAGAAGCAGTCTTTTGACCCTAACAACGTGTTGACATAGATGATTCTGTTTTTGAAGGGGGACTTTGCTTAGCATTACCCCTCACTTCTTCACCTGATCCAGGATGTACTCCTTCCTAACAGTGAAAGAAACCTGTCTTCAGACAATGCCAAACATCCCTGGATGATAAAGCTACCTCTGGGTTAGAAACTACAGAGTCAGGATAATGGATTTCCATATTAATTATAAATGTAAATGAACATGTGTCAATGGTCTTTGCTTAAATACAAACACAATTGTGTTTAATGATTATGTAATAAACTATAAAGTGCATAGAAGCTAAAAAAAAAAACTAGATATCGAATCACAAACAGGGACCAGCCTTGCAGTCTGCATGAAGAACTTGTTTACTTCCAGAAACTCAAAGACTTGAGGGGAGAAGCAGAGGGGGTGGACTGCTTCTCTATTGAAATCCTGGTAGTTCTAGAATTCTGTGCCTCATTAATAACACTGTACAGCAAGATCCTCCACCGTCATCACTAATATTATTAAGGCTAATCAATGTGCTGGTTAAAGGCATTTGAAAAATAAAACTAGCCACCCATGTTCTTAAGCTACTGAAGCAGAAACAGAAAATAAGGCAGAAAAGTTCTCCAGAAGAGATTGCAAATCTGTTTACCTCCGAGCAATCTTGCTTACCCAGTTACATGCTTCACAAGTCTCTGTTTTGTTAAAATAATTCTTTTTTGAATTTCCACAGTAAAATGTGTCCATGTGGCCTGCCTCATTCTCAGTAACCCGTCACGGCCCAGCACTTTCTTCAGCCACCGCCAGAACAAAATGTAGCATCCTTCTCCATCTTACTGAAACTCAAGCCCTGCCACCCCCCCGACTCCCCATTCCTTTCAGCAGAGTACTGACTTGCAATGCAAGCTGCAAAGCATCTGATCGCCTAGCAGGTGGAAGAAAGCTTTTCTCAAGCCTATTCGATGCCCAGTCTACTAAGCACGCCACCAAGCATGTCAATGCTGCAGGCCTTGCCTGCTGGATCTGTAATTTAACTAGCAGAGCTAATCAAAGCTTGCTCCCCTGGCCCCTGCTCAGCCTGCTTTCTTTTTCAACACAGGCCCACCTGCCCGGGGTCGCGGGGGGGGGGATGGCAACACCTCCAATGCGCTGGGCCCTCCCACATCACACAACAATCAAGAAGATGCTTCACATACATGGCCACAGGCCAGTCCAGTGAAGGCAATTCCCCAATTGAGGCTCCCTAAACCCCAAGTGTGTCAAGTTGACACTAAAACTATCCAACACAACAAGCATAGAACACTTTGCTGGTTTATAAACTGGAGATGCTCTGAAAAGAGTACTTCACCTCTGTGGCCCTCCTCTCAGCGACCCACAACTCCAGGTTTATCACAAGTAAAATGCCAGACAAGCTTCAGAACTGTGGCATTCTATAACATCCCTTACTCCTTGCTACTTCTCAAAGTCATCAAGAACAAGGAAACTGAGAAGAGTTTAGCCAGAAAAAGTCATAAGAGTCATAACAATGAAATGTAGCGTGGTATCCTGGACAGGAGTGTGGGAAAAAGAGTGAGGGCACGAGGTAAAGCCAGAGAAACAGAGAAACATGAGCAAAATAATTACATTCTTTACTTAATAACGTATAGATATTGGTTCATTACTTATCACAAAGCTGCTGTATTTCTATAAGATGTTCATGGTAAAGGAACTGGGATCAGGATGCTCTACAATTCTTCAGTTCTCCTGTATATCAAAGCTAGGTGAAAATATCATCTGTTAAGTGACTTTGAAAACTAGTCATACGCTGAGTTAGCTATAAAAACTGTAATAGGGAATTATCTGTCACTTTGGCTGGTGAAAAAATTATAGTATGTCTACTGTTGCTGTGGTCTGTGCTCACATTTATGCTTAAAGAGAATGTTCATTGCTAATTTCAGTTAGAGAATAGTGAACCTAAAGATATTATTACCCATCCTTATTCTGTAATCCTGAGTTATATGCATAGAGCCCTATGATGAAGGTTAAGAATCCAGTATTGTATGATAATATGGAGGGCTTACTTTTATGAAAACAGATCTCAGAGTGATGAACTAAGCTCTTTCAGCTTTCAGGAGCAAACATTCCAAACTCAAAATTCAGAGGATTTTGTTGCTGTTGCTTTTTGTTTGTTTGTTTTCATTCTGTTGGCTACACTACCTCTTAATTCTGGAAATGATGGAGGGATGGGAAGTTTTCATTTAGTATCATCTTGACCTTATGTAATTGCAATCTGAGTTACTGGACAGGTTCCCAGAGCAATGCTGGCCAGACAATGATGCTCAAGTCAAACGCCAAGGCAAGTTGAATGAGGAAAATCCACACTGAAGAATGCTGGTGATAGGAAAACTCCCTATTTAGAAATGACAGTTGGGAAAGAGACCCTGGCTCAGCTGCAGAGAGAGAAAGCCCTAGGGTCCTTTCTGGCCTTAATCACCCAACCCCCAAACTGCTGATTTCCCCAGTAATTTGGGAAGGAAACAAAAGAAGAGGCATGGAGGCGAAGTACAAAGCACGTTACTAGCTGGTGCCACTTTGAAGAGGCAAGGACAAGAGGCTTGTGTGGGGGTGCCTATCTTATTCCCAAGGAGAATCCTGAGAAATTCTTTAGGAAAGAGTTACAGCCATCTGTAGATGTAGATTTGCCTCTAGGTTTTCAAATAGTATAACTTTCGCCCTAGCAGTCTGCCCAAACTCAGGGGCGAAAGGGTAAGGGGGAGCAGAGAGAAAGTGGGGTGTTGGAAGGCGCATTTGTCCACTAGTGCACAGCACTAAATCCTGGAGTGACCCTTTGCTGTGCCCTGGGGTGATTTCTCTGTTGTGGCCCGGAGCACTGGATTGGAGCATCCCCAGTCTATCACAAAGGCAAGAGGTGAAGAGGTTCCAGCTTTATAATCTTGCTCTGTGTGTGTGTGTGTGTGTGTGTGTGTGTGTGTGTGTGTGTGTGTGTGTTTTAAAGGAAGGTGAATCCGACCACAACGGGTTTAGAAAGACTGATTGCCCGTTTAATATATTTTCGGATTATTTGAATGATTATCTCAATAGACAATTCTAGCTCTCAAATTCAGCGAAATGAACAATACTGATAAGGAAGATAAAGAGGGTGGGAAACCCACAGAGTCGGATGGAGCTGTCCAAACAGCCTCTATGACAGGGGAGCTCTGAGAGGCAGGACGCGCTGCAGAGAAAGTCCGCCTGCCGCTTCTGTTCTGTTTCACAGCCCAGAGATGTCGGGTGTATGAAAACATTCACAGAAAATCAGCATCCAACCCCGGGAGGGCGTCGGCCCGGTGCAGGTGCCCCCGGCCCCGGCCCAGAGCGGCCCCTTTCCCCCGCAGCTGGCGTGGAATGCGCTGCTCCGGCCGAGGATGACTTCATGCGACCGGCTGGGCGGCGGGAGCGGCAGCTGCAGCTGCAGGTGGGGCGGGGGCCTCGGAGCAGAGCGAACCCAGCACACGCGGCCCTGTGGCGGGACTGTAGCCCAGGGCAGCGGGCGCCCGGGACCCGCCACTCCATCCGGAAGGTAAGTACCCAGCCCGCGCCGACCACCCGGAGCTGGGCTTTCCTCCAGGAGGTTCACAAGGGGCTTTGAGGTACCAAACTAAGACAAGAGATAACCAAGCTGCATTCTGCAATGGGTAAAGGAGCAAGGACAGGGATTGAAATGACTGGCTAAGCGTTGGAAACTAGAGGAGAGGTGTTCCCCGGCAAACAAAGGGGCATTCCACCTCCACGTTCAAGGATGATCAACCATTTCCATACCAGGTTGACTTAGACACTGAAGAGGATCCATAATGTATAATAATCTGCGTGCCTGTTTAACCTTTGTGCCTTCTACCTTCACTTGAATATTTCCTGGCCTGGAAGCATCAGGTCCGTGGAAGCAGCTGCGGAAGTAATCCGAAATCTTGCTCTCATTATCCTCCTGGGTTCCCTCTCTTCCCGGGTACCACAGTTTCTTGACTCATTTCAGTGTCTCAATATCTGCCTCAATTCTCAGCCTTGGGGGTCTCCAGGTGGAGGGAAAACTTCCCTCCTCTCCTGAGCTCTGCTCAGTGTGAGCTGCACTTGACCAAGCTTCTCCCTTCATTTACCATCTTCTCTGTCAATCATTTCATTGATCTTTTTGAGACATGCTGTGTATATTCACTGGCCAATTCTTGTCAGATCTCATCCTTGTTCATTTCAATGACTGACTTTGTCAAGGACCCAGAAAGGGCATCGCCTCACACCGGGTTTCTTATTGGGTATTCACTTTACATAGTTACCCATGTCCTTCATCCAAATGCATAGAATGAAGCATCTTGCTTTGGGCCCAGGACCAGCTTGGTTTCCTGTAACTGCTTTCTTGCTGTCACTCTGGTTGTCTACCTAAAGGCTTGAGTAGGTTGGTGGGTTCAGGCAGCTGTCTCCATCTAGAATATAGGTCAAAGATGGGAAAGTCCACTTGTACAGTTTTCTCAAAACATCTCAAGTCTGACTGGGTGTAAGCTAATTAGCTGTCAGGGTTTAGGGCAACTATTCAAAATGTCAAGTAGTGTGTTTGCTCTGTGATTCCTCTATAACCTCGAAAGAGAGGCTTTCCCACAGGCAGGCAGAAAGCCAGTGAAGTTTGCCCAGTTTCAGCCTTAGATTATTTGATTGTCCTGGGGTTTGTCTCCCCACACACAGGTTCTTCCCAAGTGAGATTCCCCCCATTGAGCTCCTCCACTCCAGTCCTTATTCTCCTTGTCACCCAGGGACACTATTGAATAAGATGTGAAATGGTTAAGATGGCTGCTATGGGTACTGCGAATGTGTGCCTCACCAACAGAGCAGTTGCAATAAGCCAGACTGTGGGGTATCTGTGAGCCATTTAAAAGGAGATCTGTTATCTCTAAACCTAAAATTAAAGAGACAGTCTGACTTAACTGGCCTGGCATTTTATTTTAATAAATTAAAGTAAATCGATGGAAAAGAGGATAGAGTTGCTAGCTAAAACCTGCACATCTGCCTAGCTCGGTTTTCTATTGTTGCTTTGTAGACAAAGGTACTGATTCTATGAAGTTAAATTAGTCCACTATGTATTAGTAATACTTTTCTAATTAGCAGTCCTCTTGAAAAATCCTCTTTAGGAAGATTTTGAATTTACTTCTTTGTCTCCACCTTCAGCATCTGGGCAGAGGGAAGGGGACTGCTTACCACAAAGTGGACACTCCAGGAGCTCTCTTCAGGAGCTTCAGGAACTCAGGGGCATTTTTGTTTGTATTTTGCTATTATGTGTTGAGTGTGGTTTGGGTTTCAATGATTAAATATCTGAGATTCTAGAATTTTGTCTTAATTACATCAACTAGAAAAGGAAACAAAGAAGAAGATTGAAAATAAATTCTTTTCTATCACCTTCCCTAATTTAAAACCACCTAATGTATCAAGCCTTGTTCTGAAGAATAACTAATTATAAATATAAATGGAATAACTATTTTTTTTCAAAAAATTACCTCAATGTATACTAAATCAAATTTACAATTAACCATACAGGAACAATAACAGTTTCTCTAATGTTTAGTCATCTGTTTGGGTGAAGATAAGTGCCTGAGACTATCCTAGAGGTACTTAGAAACTGGAAGGGTTTGTTATCTGATTTCTGAGGAAACTGAAATCTTTGACAAGAAATTGATCCAGGATTAAGGGACTGGTGTTTCCTGAGCTGGTAAAACACCTGCGTATGTTTTCACAGATGAGCCTAATCCAGTAAGTTATGGATTGGAGTTAAAGAAACCTTGTAGGAAAGGAAAAAAACCAAGTTTATGAATTTTAAAATGACATTCTGGTAAAACTGAGGATGATGATGAAATGTAAGGAATTGCTGAATACAGACCTGTGGTGTTTAAACAATTTTGAGGATTGTTTACAAATTCAGAGCCCTAAGCAAGAATACGTGTGTATCCACACGCACACAAATGTGTACATATGCACATATATGCATACACACGCACATATATAATATGTCGTGATTAGAATTGATTTATGGCTTTATTTCCTTTTATTTACATGGTTCTCAGGAGGAGAAAATTAATTAGCTGGTGTTCAGAAATGAAGGAGGAATGAAAAATGAAATAGCACGCAGGATTAAATGCTAAATGAACTGCAGGAATTCTTGTTTAGCACAATAGATTTAAAGTCAATCAATTGTTCTTCAACCACACTTTTTAAAGAGCCATTTAGTATGGCAGGCAGTGTTATTGGTAGCTTAGTTAAGCACAAATTGAGGGGTCAGAGTTGACTTCTCATGACAAAAGGACACTCTTTTGGTGTTATGTTGCTGCCATTACCTACAACTGAAATAACCTTATCTTAAAATCATGAAAAATGGCAAAAAATACACAAAAGCAGGAAAAATATGACTGAAGAAGAAATGTCATTCAGTTTATCCAGTTCCACTAAGAATGGGAAGAAAAAAAGTCCTATTCTGGAGTTCTAGGCCTGTTTGGGTTAAAGAATGAGACTCTGTGTCTCAAACAAACACAAAAGGCTATTTTTAATATTACCAGTGGTGTCTTAATTGATGGAGTTCTGCAATATTTCATTCAGTTCAGTACTCCTGATAAGTAACAGGCACCATGCAGTGTGATACCTCTTCACCCAGCTCCTCACCAACCCTCTCCAAGTAACCCATGCCCAACCTAATACAAACTAAGATAACAGTTTGTTTAGCCATCCTGCCGTGTGTTGAAATGCTCCTCATACTTACTACTGCCTCTTCCCTGAAGCCTTCCCTCCACCCACCTTCTTTCCTTAATGAGATAAGCTTTCTTCTCCTCTGCTTAAATCCCTATAGTTCTTTTGATCTTGGTGCATCCTTTTATGTGAGCATCATTGTCTGCTCATTGCACACAGCCATAGAGAACAGTCAGGAACTGGATAAGCAGTTTTTTACCTATACCTGATTTTTACTGCTTAGCTATGTATATACATGGTAGGTATTCAGTGATTTGATTTTAGTGATTAATTTAGTGAAGATTACTTTGAAAAAGGCATGTTTCTATCCATGTTTCTCCACCAGATGACTTAGGCTTAGTATTTGTGTGAGAACTCGTTTAGTTTTCTTTTAATTCTTAATTAGTAGTATACATGATGAGAACACAGTTGTTAATCATATTACACAAAAGAAATTGTGGTATGGTATTCCAGTAAATGTATGCCCTTAGCTCATATGTGCAAAAATAATGGTAAGCATAGCAAAATACAACTTTAAGGAAGGCATTGAACCTGATTTCAGTATGCTTGCATTTGGAGAAGGGGAAAGTGTGTTACGTGTGAGTGCACTAACCCTAGTTCAAGGCACTTTTTGAGGCACCGTGGTCTCTGATATTTCCTGGATGCACTAGCCCTCCTACAGAGGGTTAAAATGTCTACTTTTTATGAGCATCTTTTCTTGGTTGTAACCCTTGGTGGGAGGTTCTCCTTCCACTGCCCTCTTTGTCCTAGGACCTGAAATGAGAGTCCCTTGCCAGCCTTGTACAGGCAGCCAAAGTGACTAGGAAGTATGTGCAGGGGACTAAAGAATCCTAGAATTTGACTCATGGAAAAAGCATCCTCGAAGGAACATTACACATTCCAAATGATTTATTTAGAGCCTTCCAACCCAAACCATCTTCACAATAAAGAGACAGCTCTCGAACTTCCAGTACCATGCTGCTACATATATAGAACATCACCAGAGGCTGACTGATGTAGTCTACCTTGAAACATACTCAGTTGTCATCAGATGAATTTATATTTCCCTCAGTTGCAATTAATTCCCTATACTGTTACTTACAGTAAATTTTTTGTCTTTGTCAAATGAAGGAAAAAATGATAAATTATGTTTATCTGCCTTAGGTTCTTAAATTCCAGTCTAAAGAGCTACATATTACCTTGAATTAACAGAAATGCTTTACTATTCTAAGCAGGTACTTAGGAGCCTAGAACTAGTTGGCAGGGTTCCTCCTGATGCAGAAATTCAAAGAGGTGTGATAAGAGCAATATTACTATTGAAAAACATCAAAATGAAGACATAGAAAATACAGCAGGATAACCTCAACTGCCAGCATCTTTATATTCCACCCCAAATCTTTTTGCTTGTAGTTCAAAATATGATAACTTTATAAGCACACAAAATGAATTTGATTTTTAAAGAAGTTTTATAATAGCCCCACTCATGAGATAAAGTTGCATTTTATTTTTCAGTAGAGCTTAAAACTTTAGAATTTGGAAATTGTGACAAAGTATGCACATATATTTTGGAGATTAGAACATTTATACATTTTAATGTGAATATGTGATAAGTTTTATGTATATTAAAATTAATATACTAATTTATATAAAATTTTTAAATTGGAATAACACATCAAACTTACAATTTTTAACTATTTTAAGTGTATAACTCACTAATATTAAGTGTATCCACAATGTTATGTGAACATCATGTTATTCATTTGCAAAAGTTTTTCATCATCCTGAACATATTCTCTACCAATTAAACAGTATCCATCATTTCTTGTA